GTCAATCACATGGAGACGGTGGTTCATTAGGCTAACGGCCAGGTGAATTGGTAGCTTTTAAGCACAAGGGGGCTATCCCGAAAAATACTGTTTTGAGAAAATCGAAGGTAAAGTTTTTGCCCCTCGTTCATGTTCTATAGAAGACAAGGAGAGTTTTCTCTATAATCAAACAAATATACACACCAAAGAAACCAAACTTCTCCTATAGGTAGGGCAATGCCCACTTTTGGTGTTGGTCAAGATTTCTGGAAATCCCCGAAATCTGGGTTTGCCTGCTTGTCCTTAAAAGCAACCAGTTTTAGTAGAGGTTTTACAGCGCTTGCAACTGCATAAGATCATATTATGAGCGCCAAGGGGTGGATGTCAACAGAGAAGTCCAAACGGGGAATCAGGCTTACTCTGCTCACCTCTCTTGCCTCAACAGCACAATGTCTGCTTCGACTATCAAGGCACCCCGGAAATAGCAGTTCACAAGAAAGTGACAAACATACAAAAGACGTACAGAAAAAATGACGATAGTAAGGATGAGGGGGGAAAAAGCAGCAGTTCCCCCTATGTTGTTCCGGCACAGTATGAGCATGACATTGATAAATCTGCCCATTTACAATAATTCTACTGTGCATAAGAACATAATGTTAATACCCCCCCCCCCTTTTGGGAATGGCCTAAAGACTCTTCAATCAGAGCACTGCACTGCCCTGGGGGGTAGGGGGGGGGGTCAGGGGGGTCGGTGAGAGGGTCTGGGCTGTCAATCACACCATGGGAGACTGTGGTTCGTTAGGCTATCGGCCAGGTAAATTGATTATTCTCTTCTTGGCGCGGGATGGGGACGTCGTGATGTGTTTAATGGTTTTTTTCTGTCGGCTTATGTCGTCGGTCACTTTGTGTGCAGTCTTTGACAGAGCTCTGTGGCGGCGGCTCGCGGCGTATTATGTCTACGGGGCAAATTGACTAATTAACGCGCAGGTGAACAAGCCTAATCATTATCTACGTGTCGCCACACCGCGTTTGAATTGGGGGCTTTCAAGGTGATTGCTGGCCGGGGAAGACAGAGAGGTGGAGAGGGGGGGGGAGGAGGTGGAGAGGGAGGGAGGAAGAGAGGGGGGAAAACAGGGAGGAGGAGAGAGGAAGACAGGGAGGAGGAGAGGGGAGACAAGGAGGAGAGGAGAGGAGAGGAGAGGTGGGGATTAAAGACACGCGGGCGGGGGAGGATTGGCAGTACGTGTTAACGTCATTGAAATGTTTACTCCTCTGTGTATCTGCCTGTAGGTATGTCTCTCACTCCCTCTCTCTTTCTCTCTCTCTCTCTCTCTCTCT